AGTTACATTTTCAACTATTTTTTCCCTATATATATATATATATATATATATATATATATATATATATATATATATAAGTATATAATTGGTATATACGGAATGAATTCCAATAACCAACAATTACTATTCTTAAAAGAGTGCTCAATGCAAAGTAGACCAGATATAATTATTCTTTTATATATATATATATATATATATATATATATATATATATATATAAAATAAAAAAAAAGAAAGAACAGTAAGATATATAATCCGGTGTTCTTATTGATATTTTTTTATTTTTACAAAACAGTACTCAATGTATATATATATATATATATATATATATATATATATATATATATATATATATATATATATATATTGTGGCTTCCTCTGTCTTTACTACAAAAAATCTACACTGACGAGCATTTTTTCCTGGTACCCCAACCACATGAACTTAAGTGTGCTATTAGATTGTCAACTATGTCCCACCCTTTTACTGTTAAAATAGTTAAATTTAAGTTAACCACCACTTCTATTCCAACGGTTTCTTTTCTCGCACTTGTCGCTTGTGGAACTCCCTTTCGTTGACCTGCTTCCCTGAAAACTAACAGTCTTCAAAAATTTAAATGCAACCTCAATCGCCATCTTCTGTCTTCTTGAATCCCGTTCATCTTTTATCCATTCCTCAATGTCACTTTATAGTATACCCAGTTTTTTTTTTCTCTCTCGTTTTCCTTCTCTGTAAACCCCCTGCTTACTAATGACATTCCCGCCTTGCTTTGGATGAAAAGATTAAAAAAAAAAATAACAAAACAAAGGAAAACATAAATAAATTCAGTTCTTTTCTCGGAATAAAATATTATTACAGAAAGCTGATCTTAAATTCTATATCGTTTTGATTTCTTTGTTTTTTAGTTTTTCTTAAAAATATTTTTTAATTAATAAAATACGATTAATTGAACATTTTTTTTTATATTTAAAAAGCTACCAATATTTTATTTTTAAATTTTCTTTTCATATTCATTTATTTAGTTCTTACCTGCTTGTATATACATTTCCATAGGTACAAACATTGTTTTTTTCGCTTTTTAGGTTATTTTAAAAAAAATATTTTTAACTATTGATGTTAAAGAAAATATTTTAGGAAAATATTACCGAAAGTTTTATAAATATAAATTATTCTTGAGTGAACTAAATTTTAAGACGATATTTTTTTTATTACAATTTATTTTTTTGTCCATGTTTCTTCATAAAGTTATAAGTCGTAAACTATTTCCTGATTTCGATTTCAAGACACTTCACTTTAACGACTGGTGCTCATACAATAATAGGATAAAAAATATAACAATATAAGATGTAGGAAACTAGTCAAATGTACATAACAAAATTTATTCTCTATGCCATATAAACAAATGACGATTTTAGGATTTGGAAATTAATACATCTATCTATCTATCTATCTATCTATCTATCTATCTATCTATCTATCTATCTATTTATCTATCTATCTACGTTAGTTTGATTTTTATCTATCTATATCTAACTTTTTCGTCTGTCCTCGTAATTTTTATATTTGAATTACTTATTAATTTTAATCTGTGTACACAAGCACACATATGTGAGTACGCTTATTCGTATGCGTGTTTATAAATATGTGTGTGTGTGCATGTGTACGAGCATGTAATTTGGTAAATATATAACTATTTCAACCTTTATGCAACACAATAATTATTCTTATATATATATATATATATATATATATATATATATATATATATATATATATATATATAACAGTACGCGATTTTTAAAAAGTCTCCATCAAAACGATTACAGTTTACATTAAGATGTATTTGCCGTTCGCCACTGAGGATGATCTCGGAAAAGATCGAAAGTACTTGGGTTAACTAACAGATAATACGGCGCCTTCCTTCATGAATATCAACTCAACATCAAGAAGATAATTATAGAACTAAAAAGTAATATATTATTTAATGAAACGTGCTAGAATGAAGAAACATCACACACTACTAAATATACATACATACACACTACATATGTATATATGTATGCATAGATGGATGGATGTTTAGATAGATAGATAGATAGATAGATAGATAGATATAGATATACAGGGTGACTCAAAATAGTGCCCTATTTCAGCATTTTTTGTTCATTATCTATTTTTGTCACTTAATAATGTCTTCTCAGCCCGCTCTGTATCTATCTATCTATCTATCTATCTATCTCTCTCTCTCTCTCTCTCTCTCTCTCTATATATATATATATATATATATATATATATATATATATATATATATGGAATCTTAATGGTCTGATTTTTATTCAAACATATATATATATATATATATATATATATATATATATATATACATGCAAATGTTGATAAAAATAATAATAAAAGATATAAAAAATATCTTATCATTTTACGCACTATCGGCCTGTTTCAAGCAGTATCTACCTTTTTCCGAATCTCTGACATAGTTGTCTGTCATCGTAATTTTTATATTTTGATCTGTGTAGTGTACACAAGCATATATACATATCTGTGTGTGTGTACGCTTATGCGTATGTGTGTCTATATGTGTGTGTGGGTGGGTGTGTGCATGTGTACGAGCATATAGATCAAATATTTCAAAACATGATATTATAATTACAAAAATGATTATGTACACATGTACACACACATGTAGATAAATGGCCGAGGGTAGATCAGAAATGCTTTGCCTAACACGTTTTGTTTTTATTTTTTGTCAGACCAGTGAGATTAATATTGACCATTAAATTAATTGAAAATGTATTAAAAGTTCTTGAAGAAAATATACATACATATACATACACACACACACACATGGATAGATAGATAGATAGATAGATAGATATGTATCTGTGTGCGTGTGTGTGTGTGTGTGTGTGCATTTATTAAATATTTGTATCTATAAAAAATAACGTATAAATAGATATTATATATCAAAATAAAACTTAGTCCATTTCATATGTATATATATATATATATATATATATATATATATATATATATATATAGATAGATAGATATATATAGATATAGATATAGATATTAATTGAAATATATATACATTTCTATATATATAAATATATATATATAGAATATATGCATATTATATATATATATTTATATATAGTTTCAATTAATATCTATATC